GCCCTGTCCTACCTTGCTGGCTGGTGGCAATGTCCTGCTCAGGGGACCTTTCCCTTGTATCTCTCCAACCCCAAAAGATCATCCCCAAAGTGAAGCCACAGGGGACTTGCATGTCACCAGGAAGAGGAGTCCCCAGGGGAATAAGTAGCTGTGCCATCACCCCGTCCTTGACAGCTGACATGCCTTTGGAGGAGGGCATGAGATCCAGCAGCCCCTCACAACTTTATGTCACTCCCTTGGGTTTGGGGGACACCGCACACTCACACACCATTGCTTATAGGGGACATGTCCACAGTTTACATTTCGTGATGTTTGTGTTTAAATGAGCAGGAATGCCTGGCACCTGGGTCAGGTGTCACTTTCTCTCCTATAGTCCGGGTGACCCAGGCACTTGCAGCCCCATCCTCAGCCTGCAGGGGGCACCAGAGGCAAGGGGGGGATGCCTTGGGGAGAGGACCCTGAGAGGGCTGGGTGTGTCCTGTCCTGCTCTGGCCATGAGCCAGGCTCAGGTGGCCAGTTCTGTACAGGGACAGAGAACATAAGGAGGAGACAGAGGGGGACAAGACTCCCGGCTCCCTCCAGTGTGGAAGACCAGAGTCATGTTGGCTGTTTCCCCAACCTACCTGTTCCCCTGCTGGCCCTGGGTGGACCCTCAAGGCCAGGCGCCCTTGGTCCTGCCTGGAGGCCCCCTGCCCTGCCTCAACTGACCAAGGCTTCTCTGGAGAGAGCCCACTGTGCTCAGCAGGGCAGGGCGCTGCAGGACAATGGCACCAGGCTCTGCCACCAGACCTCCGACCTCTCGGCCGCCTGGCATTACCAAGCGCCTTAGGTGTCTGTACTAGTGACTGGCGTCACCTGTGGTCGGCTCACCCATGAAAGTCTCTTTGCTTCCACGAGCGGTTATGAACCCGCAGTCCCTGAACTGGCTGCCACCTTCTGGAGCCGCCTTCCCCCGTTGTGGTCTGAGCCCAGCATTCTGGCTGGTCAGGATTCTTTCTGCCACAGGACCTCACGCCCTTCCACCCGGTTCCATGTAGTTGGCCGTTTGGATAAGATTATTTCTGGGTGCTGAACAGAAACAGGCTCCAATCCAGAGCAGGTGGCGCCACCAGAAGCTTCCCGCTGCCCTGCTTGGCCCAGTCTCCTAAGGCTGATGGGCCGCCTTCAGGCCTAGGCCCTCCCCGCCCCCCAGCCACTGTTGCCATGTCCTGTGTCCTCCCAGGACACGCCAAGACTCGGGAGTGAACGACTTCCTCCTGGCCGCCTGGTAAGATCTGTCTTTCTGACACTTGTGGGGAGCTCCTGGGCACCAGGGTCAGACAGCTCCGGGGCCTGGGAGGTACATGCTGCCATGAGCCCCCAGGGGACCACCAACCACTTTCCTGGCCCTAACAGGAGGGGAAGAGACGGGGTCAGAGATGCTGTTCTGGTTTGGAAGGCTTGAGTGAACCCTAGGGGTTCATGGGCACTTGGTCCCCAGCATGGTGATGTTGTAGGGGAAGAAGGTTTAAGAGGTGACTAGTGGAGAGTGACTAGGTCATTGGGGACATTGCCCTCGGAAGAGTTTAATGCTGGTCTGGTGGAGGAAGTTAGTTGAGGGCAAGTTGTTATAAAGGAGCAAGACCAGCCCCTTCCGCTCTCTGGCTTCCTGTCTCGACATACAATCCCTTACGCACACACGCCCACCATTGTGGCTCCATCCGCCATGAGAAGCCAGTACCATGCTCTTGGACCCAAATAAACTTCTTTTCTTTATAAATTATCCAGCCTCAGGTAATTCATTACACCAACTGAAATGGAACTGAGACTACATCAGAATAGCACCGATGACTCATCTTCAACAGGTGTCCATTATCTGTCTAAGTCAGATTCGCAGAGGGAGTCCCCACAATGCTTCTGGGAAGTTTGAGGTTCTGCAAACCAGGTTACCTGGCTCTGGCCAGAAAATGCTGTCCTCCCATTTGATACAAACAAGTCTTGTGGACATGGAGACTATCTGGTCCCTAGGGACTCACCAGGCTACACAGAGGGTGCAGGGCCCACCCAGTATCCTGGGCTGTGAGACTTGAAGCTTCCTACGGCAAGTCTTTCTGGAGGATCTCTCTAGTTGGTGCTAGGCTGCTGCTTCTAGAAGCTCATGCTGCCCCAGGGAACCAGAGCACAGTCATCTCTGTCTGCCTAGGTCCAGCCTCCCAACTCTGACCACTTCTAAGCCGCCGAGGTCCCCACACCCTGGACCACACCCAGCAGCCCCGCGGAGCTCCCTCTTGGGGCCTGCAGTGGTTGGCACGGGAACTCTCAGCACTTTGCTGGAAACCTTACGGGCTTGCTGTGGCCTCTCTTTGGGCCTCGCCCCATCCTTACTTCTTGGTGAGGCTCAGGAGGACCTTCCCAGGGACAGGCCACTCACTGAAGAGTCTTTTCCCTTTCCATCCCACCCGAGGCCACCCATTCCTCACCCGACTCACCCAGCATGCACAGAACTTTCGTTTGGGGACTTTTTTCCTATCTATTCTTGACCTACATGCACTTTTCCATTCTCCAACCAGGATAAAATATCTCTGTGCAGACGGTCTCTTACTTACAGTGGCCAGACTTAATGGACTTGATGGTTTTCCAATTTCACAGCGATGTGCAAGTATACCTAGGACACCGTTGTATAGATTCCGAGAAATTGCTGGAAACTTCCAACACTGTTATAAGACAGGCTTTTGTTGGATGATCTTTGTTCAACTTCAGGCGAATGTAACATTCAACTATAGCAGCCTCACCACCGTTGGGCCTGAGCCCACCTGCTCTCCCAGGCTGGGGATGGAGGAGGCGGGGCTGACCAGTGAATCTGATGATGGGTTGTTCCATCAGGATCCAGGGCGTTCACTCCTGGCCTGGCCCCTGACTCAGGAAAACCTCTTTATCCAGGCCTCAATTTCTCCACCTTTCAAACAGGTGAATTTGGTGTCTTCATCAACCTTAGTGCCCCCAGGCCGGGGAAGAGGCTTGGCGTGATTGTGATTCTTCTTTGGGCAATCTTGCCTTCCAAGTATGATTAGAGACATTCTATGAAAACAGTAGCAACAGCCAGTGACGGGGTTAATTATAGTAATGAGGGGAGACAGTAAATAGTGAGGATCTGCTTATTTCCCAAGTCCTTGAGGATTTTGGTCCTCCCCCGCCCCCCGATTTTGGTCCTCTGGGCCACTAGTGTGCAGAAAGTACAGAAAGCCTCAATGGCAGTTACTAATTTCCCCATAGGTGGATTATATAGAGCCGGGCAGGAGCTATTTCCATCCTGCTGGTGACGGGGCTAAAGTTAGAAAGTGATCGCCAGGGAGACATTCTTTCTAACTGATTGAACTGGAGCGGGAGGGAGTCAGGAGGAGCAGACCGGCCCTGGAGAGGCCAGGCAGCCTCCGGGAGGCAGGAGCCCGTAGCACAGATGCTGTGAGTCTGGGGAGAAGGCTGCAGGGCAGGGGCAAGGTGGGCAGGGCCTCCCTCTACCCACCAGGGTGAGGCCTGCAGGGGAAGAGTCGGGACAGGAACCTCCCCAGCCCGCAGCCTGCTCCCACTCTACCAGGTGCCAGGGCACCCCAGTGTGTGACCACAGCGCTGATCCTCATCTCTGAATCACCCTTTGATGAGGTCCCATTTCCCATCTGCACCCCGTTATTAAGTGGACTCCATGCCTGGTCACCCTTGCTCCCCAGCTCTGAGAAAACTGCGATGGGAAGCAACAGCAAGGCTCCGGAAGTCGTAGCCGGCCCAGCCCTACACCAAACTTAAGTCCCCTCTTCGTCTCTAGCTCCATCAAGGGCGGTCCCCAGTCCCCGTGCCTCTTACCCACCTCATAGAACAGTACTGAGCTACTGCCCTGGACTGAACTTGGGGGGTCCCAAGTTCACCCAAACCACCAAGCCATCCCCTCCCCCCAGGGCTCCCGACAGGGGAGGGACCTGCGTGAAACCTCACAGACCCCTATTACTTCTCTTAACACAAGTCACATGCATTCAATGCACAGAAATGAGGACACACGGATGATCAAGATTCGCTCGTGATTCTCCCAGAGACGATCATGTTCTATGGCCCTGTGCCCTGTCCTGTTCCGGAACCTGCTATTTGTTATGTATTAACGCATCGAGTTTGGTGTCAACAGGGACATCCGTACATGGTTGACTTTGAAGAGTGCCCAGTGTGTCGTGGGAGATGCTCCTCTTGTCAGCTCCTCAGGGTGGCCTTTGGGACTGATTCCGGTGTGAACATTGCCACCAGGACATCCTCCATCCCTTCAGCAAGGTTTCCCCAGGACCTGATCAGCCACTGGCAACTTTCTGGGCACCAGGCATAAGCCATGGACAAAACGGAGACCTGTGGAGACACATCCCTGGGCATCTCCCGGATCAGTTCTTTCTGTGACTGGGTGGGGCAAGGCTGGGCAGAAGGGCACACCCTTACTAGGTTTGTCCTCCCCTCCTGGGACTACCCTGCCTGTCAGGTGCCCCTCTGTTCCAGGTTGGCCTGGCAGTGATGTCTGGGCATGACCCATGGGGACAGAGCAAGCCCCAGGGGATCAGGGAAAGTGAGCCGGTTCCCCGGCCTGTGCATCTGGTCTTGTGACCCCCCTGGGGCAGGCTGCACTGGGTGGCTGTTTTACCAGATTGAAATTGGGCCATCCCAGATAGTCCAGAGGCACCCACCTGCCGCCTAACCTGCTCCCACGGAACCCTGGCCTAGCATCTGGGGAGGGAGGGGAACCCAGGTTTCCCTCCCACCGCCCAAGGCGTCAGGCCCAGGCCCTGCCCCTTACCCAGGCCTCCGCCCCTGCCCTCCTACGCTCAGGGTGCCCAGGTAGCTCCGGAGCCCAAACCTGTCGGGCCGGTTTGAGAGCTGCAGGGACAGAGGGAGGAAGGCTGCCGAAGGATGCACAGCCTGCCCCGTGGTCGCCCGCACACTCTGCCGCTTGAGACCGACCTGCCTACACCGCTGCCCGCCTGCCCGACCCCACAATGCGCGCGCCAGGCCTCCTGGCGCCCCTGCTGGGGCTGGGCCTGGGGCTGGCGCTGAGTCTGCCGCCCCCGGTGGCCACGGACTGCACGTCGCTCGGCCCCTCCGAGCGCCTGGCATTCTCCCCAGCGGCCAGGACCCGCTGGCTGGCCCCCCAAGTCAGGGCACCGGGGCCCCTGGACCCCCTTTATGGCATGGTGCGCCGCTTCCTGTCCGTGGTGCAGCTCAACCCCTTCCCTTCGGGTGAGTGCGCTCCTCCCCTCTCCTCCCCTCTCCTCCCCTGGTGCACCTCTGGCCGCTGGTCCCCAGCAGCCTCCCTGTCCATGGGCACGTGGAGGGGAGGGCAGGGTCCCCAGCATCCCGACAGCTTTCTTCCTCCCAGAAGTCCTGGGGGCAGGGTACCCTAGGAAAAAGTTCCAGAACCTTCTGGTGTGACCTTGGGCAAGCCCCTTTCCCTCTCTGAGCCTGTTTCTCCTCTAACTGGAGGACCTTGGGTTAGAAGCACATGACATTGGCCTGGCTCATTCTCTGAGTCTGGTGGCACCTGGGGTTGAGAGGGCCAGGGGTGGGGTGGGACCTGGAGGGGAGCTGCTAGGCCAGGCCCCTTCTGGGCTTCGGCCTCCCCTCCAGGTCCAGAACCTGCCCAGAGGGACTCCCCTGGGGCAGCGCTGAGGCCCAGCAGGATGGCCTCAAAGATCCCACTGGGCCTGGCAGTGGGGAGGGGTGACGCAGGGCCAGGGCAGTGGCTGTCCCCGAAATTTCACCTTGGCTCTTTCCCCACAGAGTTGGTAAGGGCCCTGCTGAACGAGCCGTCCTCCTTGAAGGTGGATGAGGTGAGAACCAAGGCGGACCTGCTGGCGTGGGGCCTGGGGCTGAGCAGGAGGGGTCGTCTGGCAGCTCAGTCCCCTCTGCCCGGTGCTTGCCAGGGTGGGGTCTCGGTCATCCCTCCTCCTCTCCAGGGGTGCTGCAGTGGCAGGCCTGGGTTCCAGCCGCAGCTCTGCAGTGACATGGAACCTCCCTGAACTTCAGTTTTCTCATCTGTAAGATGGTAGCCGGGAGGGACACCGTGTCCTCCTTACATTGACCACCAAGAAGAGAGACACGCCCTCCACCCTCGCTTCCCTCTGCATCCGGGGAAGCCAGGCTGGGAGGGGGTCGGGACCGCCTGACGCGTTGCCGCCCTGCCAGGTGGTGCGGTACGAGGCGGGCTACGTGGTGTGCGCAGTGACCGCGGGCCTCTACCTCGTGGCAGTGCCCACGACCGGCCTCTGCTTCTGCTGTTGCCGCTGTCGCCGGCGCTGTGGTGGCCGTGTGAAAACTGAGCACAAGGCCATGGCCTGTGAGCGTGGCACGCTCATGGCCTTCCTGCTGCTGACCACCATCATGTTGCTGTGAGGAGCGGCCCTGGCTGGGCGGGAGGGCCGGCCGTGGCCCAGACCCTCGGACGCCGCGCGACTCTTTCCTCCTCGCCTTCCTCCCGCAGGGCTGGTGTGGTCTGTGCTTTTGTCACCAACCAACGCACACATGAGCAGATGGGGCCCAGTGTTGAAGCTGTGCCTGAGACACTGCGCAGCCTCCGGGGCCTGGTCTCCGATGTCCCCGGGGTGAGCACCAAGTAATGCCCTTGTCCCCAGGTGCCTCCTGAGCACCAGGCCCAGGCAGGACAGAGCAGAGGGGGTGCCCTGTGTTCATAGCCTGCAAAGGGGAAAAGGGGCCCTTCCTTGGCACACGTGGCCACCCCCTGCTGGGGAGTCGCTGACATGAGTAACTGCCCCTGTGCTGTCCCCAGGAGAGAAGGGGCTGCCAAGGGACAGGAAAAGTGGCTTACAGCCTTGTGTTTGTCTAGGAGCTCGAGGCCGTGGCTAAGCAGTTCTCTGTGCCCCAGGAGCAAGTCTTGAAGGAGCTGGACGGTGAGAGTGGCGTCAGCAGGCCCCAGGGCCCTAATCTTGGCCTTCTCCTGGTATACCGTGTCACAGCGGAATGGCCCAGCTGGCTTCCCAGCACAGCAGGCCCCCTGCTGTGGGGTGGAGAAGCCAACAGCACCCTGCAGAGCCAGGGCTGGGACCTGGGGAGCAGGATTGGGGTGGGGGTAGGGTCACCCTCAGCTCCTGGGGGCCAGCTCTGAGAATGCCCTACGCCCTGTGTTCCCCAGGGATGGGTGAGAGCATCGGCCCCACCATTCACAGCCAGCTCAGGAGCACCATGTACTCGGTGCTGGCCTCGGTACACAGCCTGGGCCAGGGTGAGCTGGGCCAGTGCCTTGCATGGGGTGGGGCCCAGCAGATGACCAGCCGGGCAGGACCACCCTCACCCGGCCCTGAATTTCCAGCGGCCTACCCCACCCATGATGTCCCCATCCCATCATCCCAGATCCCCGTGTCCTCGGGCATCTCTGCCCACTTCCTGGTTTAACGTGCCCTGGGGCAGTTTCCACTGTGACCTTAAAGGTCAATGACCACAGGTCCCTTTGGCCAGAGGGGAGGACTGTCCTTCCTCTTGCAGAGCCGCTGCGGAGGCCAGGAGCTGTGGCGTCAGCTCAGGCCAGGTGTGGGTCTCAGCCCTGCAGGTCTCCACGGACCAGCTCCGTGCCCTGAACAGCTCCTCGGTGGCGCTGCGGGAGGGACAGCAGCAGCTGGTGCTGGCTCTTGAGAAGCACCGAGACCGCCTGCTCGCCCTGCTGCAGCAGCCTGGGTGCGGGAAGGACTGCACAGACACCCAGGACCGGGCCCAAGCCCTGGAGCTGGCCGCTGACTTCACCCAGGTGCAGGCCGGGGGCAGAGGCTTGGGGCTCTGAAGGGACCCTCCAGCATCCTCACGGCCTGGGGTTTCCTGAGGCCCACTGCCCTGGTCCCCTCCCAGGCTGCTCCTTCCCCTCCTGAGCACTAGAGCCCAAGGCCAATGACCTTCACCTTGGCAGCGAGTCAGAGCTCTCCCCAGGACACACATGGTGCCTTGGACTTCACGCACACTGGCTCTGGCAGCTGGGCTGAAGCCGTCCCCACTTGACACCTGAGGGCTCAGAGACACCCGCCCCTCCCTCCCGCTGTTCCCTAGACATCTCGCCCCTTTGCAGGTGCCCCCTGTGGATAATGTCTTGCATCACCTGAAGGGTGTCCCCGAGGCCAACTTCTCCAACATGGTCCAGGAGGTGAGTGCCCACTTGGGCCCCCTGACTCCTCTTCCTGCCTGGGCACTCACAGACGGGGACCTCAGTTTACCTGTTTTGAAGTGGGAATCCAGTTGAACCTAAGACTTGAGGCCACACCTGTCACCTCGGGCTGGGGGCTCATGCCGCCCGGTCCTTGGCGGAGGCAGGCCTGGGATGGGGTGGGGTGGGGGTCGGTGAGCGAGCCCCTGGCTGAGCTCGGCAAGGCGGGCGGGCTCTCCTGGGTGGAGACAGCCCTGGGGGAGGGTGCCGGTGAGTCAGCACCTGTGACCCAGAACCTGGAGTTGGGGAAACAGTGAGTCAGCCAGGCAGGTGGCTGGAGTGGGAGGTCCTGGGAAGAAGGAAGTGGGAGCTGAGGTGGAATGGCAGATTGGAGCTGAACTTCTGGAGTCAGGGCTGGCAGTCCCGTGCAGGATGGACGGGACAAGAGGGGATGGCTGAGGTGACCTGTTGTCTGGGAAGGGACTGGGAGTGGAAGGACGGGGTCTCTGGGGAAGAAGGGTGATACGTCAGACCGGGCTTTGCAAGATGGAAGCAGAGACCAAGAGAACCAAGGGACTGTGACCCGAGCAGAGAGCAGCCGGGAGGGATGCCCGCCCTCTGAGGCCTGGTGACTTGGGACCCCCAAGCTGGGACACCGGCTGGAGGGTCGGAGGCCCAACCCCCTGGTTCCTGCAGGAGAACACTACCTTCAACAGCCTCCCGTTCCTGGTGGCCATGCAGATGGAGCTTGTGATCAAAGGTGGGCTCCCCGGGGCAGGCTCTTCCAGGAGACAGGAGGCTCTTCCAGGGGAGAGGAGTGGGGCAGTGGTGGTCAGGGCTGTCCTCCTTGGTGGGCCCGCGGTAGGTCCTAGGGGTTCTTCCCTGGCCCCTGGGTGCCCTCTGCATCCCCTGAGAGCCTGTGGCTTCGGGCAGATCTGAAGGAGGCGGTGGCCCAGAAGCCAGAAGGCATGGGGACACTGGCTGAAGCGTTCCCCGAATTGGAAGCAGCTCCCCGCTGGAGCCGGGCCCTGGAGGAGTTGGAAGAAAACAGCCGTCCCTATCTGCAGGAGGTGCAGAGATACGAGACCTACAGGTACCCAGGGGCCCTGGGGCCGGGCAGGGTGGGTGTCCGGCCTCTCTGTTGCTGGAGCCCCACCTCTAGCCCCCGCCACCCCTGACTGCCCTGCACCTCTGCCTGTTTTAAGTCAGGACCCCTGATTCCTCGGGCCTCCGTGTCTCTACCTCGCTGTGTGCCGGGACCTAAGCAGCAGGGCTTCAGGAAGCATCCACACCTGCTCCTCCACACTCTAGCCCTGGGTCCCGTGCCAGCCCCTCCAGGGTTCCAACCCCTCTGTGACAGGTGGACGGTGGGCTGCGTGCTGTGCTGCGTGGTCCTGCTCGTGGTGGCCTGTAACCTGCTGGGCCTCAGCCTGGGCATCTGGGGACTGTCTGCCAGAGAGGACCCCAGCCAACCGGAAGCCAAGGGCGGGGCTGGAGCCCGCTTCCTCATGGTGTAAGAAGCCCCCACTTCCTGGGAGACCCTGGGCAAATGGCCAGCCATGGGCCTCGGTGTCCTCATCTGCATAAGGGGGTTGCACTAGAGCAGGAAGGATGGCCAGAAAACTTCCCCGTGCGCACCCACACACACCAGGGACAACTGAGGTCCTCAGGGGGCGTGCTTCCCACTGGGTTCAGACCAGAGCCTCAGGATCCAGGCAGCAGCACCGCCAACACAAGGCAGAGTCCTGTTTCTCCACCTTCCCTACACTAGCTGTTGTCTAAGAGGGTGCTGCTGCATACAGTCGGGCAGGCTGTTCACTGCACAAGGGTGACAGCCCTTGGGAGCGTGGGGGCTGACTCCACCGCATGTTTCATTCTCCGAGCCTCAGAGCCTGGGTGGGGCTGTGGCAGTCTCACAAAAGAGCCTACAAGTCAGTGGCACCTGGTCTAAGAGTCCTTACAGCCCATTGGGGTGCTGCTCCTGCTGGCCAGCCGTGCCTGGTGACCCCTTTTGAAGGCTGGGTTTTGGATCGGGCCACCTCCACAGGCACTAGGTGCCAGGCAGACCTGGCTCTGTGCACACAACAGCCGTCCCCTTCTCTAGGCTGCCAGGGCCAGCAGGACCCCAACAACAAGGTGGGGTGCAGTGGGACCAGGAGGGACCTCCCGGGAGGCCCAGTCCCCCCTCCTGCTCCCCACAAGACTCTGCCCTGCAGTCCACTCAGACCATGCTGGCCCTGGGGTGTGGCTGGGGACGGAGGGCTGGCCTGGGCAGCCACCCTGCCCCCCTCAGCCTGCCCCTCGCCCTCCCCAGGGGGGTGGGCTTCAGCTTCCTCTTCGCCGCGCCCCTCATCCTCCTGGTCTTCCTCACCTTCCTGGTGGGCGGCAACGTGCAGACCCTGGTGTGCCGGAGCTGGGAGAGCGGGGAGCTCTACCAGGTGGGCCTGTCACCGCTCCGGGGACCCCGAGCCGGCAGAGGGAGGCGTGGGCAGAGAAGAAGGGTCGAGAGGGAGAGAGGGGGGCAGAGTGGGCACAGAGACAGGAAGGCCCAGGGGACAGGACGGGGGAGAACCCGTGCGCCTCCAGACAAGGACCTCGTGGTTCCACTCACACCTGGCCCCCTCCCTCCTCCCACTCTGAGCCCGGGGCCTGGGGCCCTGGGTGCGTTTCGGTGGTGAGATGGGGGTTGGCCTGGGCTGACCCACCACCCTCCCAGAGAGGCATGGGAATCGCCCCAGCCAGGAGGGGCCGGGGGCTCATTCAGGTTACAGGCCAGCCCTGGGTCTGGAGTCCCCGAGATGCTCCCCCCAGCCTGCTCTGCCAGGGTGGGCCCAGGGGAGCGGGCAGCCTTGCCACCACGCTCACCCCCGTGTCCCCCTGTCCATCCGCAGTTTGCAGACACCCCGGGGAACCTGCCCCCATCCCTGAACCTGTCCCACCTTCTCGGCCTGAGGAAGAACGTCAGCGTCCTCCTGACCTATCAGTGAGTGGGAGCCTGGGCTGGGGGCAGGAGGGCCTGCAGGGAGGGCAGAGTGGCTGTCCCCTTAGGGTGCTGTGGCCACCAGCTCCCTTGCTCTGTGTCCACCCTCCCCCAGGCAGTGCAGGGAAGGGGCTGCCCTCTGGAAGGTCCTGCAGCTGGATGACTCCTACAACCTGGAGAAGTACCTGGATATCAGCCAGGTAGGAGAACATTCCAGAAGGCTGTGAGGACCTCTCCTGCAGATACTCCTCCTCAGGTCCCGTTTCTGCGCAGGCGCCGTTGCTGGGAACCCAGGGAGACTGGTTGAGGTGCTCGGGGCCTGGCCCAGGACTAGAGCCAGGCCCCTGCCCAGCGCCCAAGGCCAGCCTGACCCCGAGGACTCTCCCTGTGGCCCCTGGAACTTGGGGCATTCGCTCGCCAGAGGTCACACAGGAAGTTGGTGGAGAGGCTTGCCCATGCTGGCCAGGGGCAGCTCTAGAACAAACCAAAATGCCACCTCACGAGAGAGGGGACGTACTTTGAGAACATGGCTCTAAATGTGTGGAGGCTGTGAACCTCCCCTCCTGCCTCCCTTGGTGCCTAGTTGAGGTGGGAGGTGGAGCCATTTCTGAGCGTGTCCTAGGAAACCCACACCCCTCCCTGGCCTGCCCCTGCTGCCCTGGGAAGCAGCAGGCTGACTTCTGCTTCTGCTTCCTCGCGAGAGCACCCCAACTCCTCCCAGGTCCACCCCGGTTCTTGGTCCATGGGGCCCAGTCCCAACTCCAAGCCTTAAGCTGTGTGACCTGGGACAGCTGGCTTAAGACCTCAGCTCACCCCTGTCCGCTTCTTTACCCAGAAAGGAGGTCCACTGAGCTGGCATACCCTGGTGAGAGGCCAGGGGCACTGCCCCAGGGGTGAAGGCTGCCAGGATGGCCCCTGGGCACAGGGGACCCCCTGCCCTGCTGGCTGGAAGTCCTGGCTCCAGGGAGAGAGGTCTCAGGCCTGGTCCTGGGAGAGGAAGGGTCCAGCTCAGGGAAGAGATAGAACTTAAGGTCCTCAGAGTCCACCCGGCAACTGACCCAGGTGACCTTAGAAATTTCGTCCTCAAGGAAGAAAGCGACAGCTGATTATGAAGAGATCAGTGAGGCAGGCGAGCCTTCTGGGGCCCACTGCATTGACCCCCCATACTGAGACCCCCTCCTAGGAGGTGAGGGCTTTTCTGTCACGGGGAGGGGGCAGCCTGGGCGAAGTAGCAAGCAGAGATGGACTGCATTTTCTAATTTGCTGTGCATCGTCCAGCAGATGAACCCCCCTGTCTGGTTTGAGTTTTTCTCTGTTAAACTCTGAGACTGAACTTTCATGAGCCCTAAATCTCTTGCCGTGATGGTAGGAAAAGGCCAAGGATCTTTCCTGGAAATGCAGTTTTCTCCCTCCCTTCCTTCCTTCCTTCCTTCCTTCCTTCCTTCCTTCCTTCCTTCCTGTAGTCCACAAACTTGGGCCTCAGCCACTACGTGAGAGTCTCTGCTCTAATGCCCGGGGCTTGTGTCTAGAGTAGGTAGCCGAGGTCCCACGGTCACGGGGGCTGATGGCAACTGACAAGTAGACAAATGAAAAAAAGGTGATCTCAGAACCTCGGGCCCTGAAAAGACCTCAACTCTGCAGATGTGAAAAAGAGGGGCCGGATGGACAGGGAGGCCCGTGCTTGCAGCCTGGTGGCCAGTAGATGCAGCGCAGAGGCTGGGTCCTGGAGAGTGTGCAAGGAGGTTGGCAGGGGGCGGGGTGCGTCTGGTGGTCCTGAGGGCTGGTGACCGCTGACCGCCAGCCTGGGGAGCGTCTGGGACCCTGGCTTGCCACCTGGGCGTGCTCCCCATCCTCCTCCTCCTCCCCCAGTACACCCACAGCCTGCAGCAGAACTTGCAGAACTTCAAGCCGAATGTGCAGAATCTGGAGCTGTTGAGCCCGGAGGCTCACCGGGACCTGGAGGCGCTGCAGAACAGTGGGCTGGAGAAAGTCCACTACCAGGCCTTCCTCGTGCAGGTGGACAGTGGCCCTCAGGTCCCCGCAGGGTGGAGGGGCCTCAGAGAGGCCCTCACCTCCCAACCCTCCCAGCTGCTCCGGGGTCCTCCCTGCTGGGAGCCGCCATGCCCTGGGCCCACCCCCTGCGCTGTTCCTGGTGCTGAGCCCCCTGCAGCCCGCGCTGGGCAGCTCTGCCTGGGCTCCACCAGAGGGCGCCTCCTTCTGTTGTTGTTTTGGGAAATGTCTGAAATGTCGCCAGGGGCCTCAGCACTCATCCCTCGTGGTGGCCTCTCCGTCTGCCCTCAGATCCAGAGGCCTGTGGTGAACACTGACCTGGAGCAGCTGGCCCAGGAGCTGGAGGGGCTGGCCCAGGCCCAGGTGAGAAGCAGGCAGAGGAGGCCCGAGGGTGCGGGAGGCCAGGATGCTTGCATTGGAGAGGGGATGAGGGCAGAGGCAGGGGACTGAGGGTCTCCTCACCAGTGACAGCTGAGGCTCCTGGTCCTCAAACTGGGCTGGAGGCTTTGCATCATCTGTTCCAACTCAAGTTCCGCCACCAATTGGCTGTGTGGCCTCGGGTGAGTCGTTCAGCCTCTCTGAGCCTCAGTTTCTTTATCTATAAAAAGGACTGACGTTGCCTCAGATCAAATGAGGTAACTGGCCTGATATCATGGGTATCCTATGCACACGCCTGTCATGGAACATGCAGGGACAGGTGTGGTGGGGACACCATGACAGATGCCCTCCAGGGGAAGAAATGGCATTTTGTATTCACAAATATTTAGAGTTTGGGAAGTTCTCTTTGAGACATCTCTGAGACCCTGCAGCAACCTAGCTTGGTGGGCAGGCAAGGAGCGTCCCTTGGTGTCTGCAGATGCCACCATAGCTGATAAGGGTCCCGTGGCTGACTAGGGTGCCCCACAAGCCAGGGGCAGACCTAAAACTCAAGCACAGGTCTCCCTGGAGCTGAGGAAGTCTCCTCTTCTGCCTCTGATCCTAGCACTCCCACCTCCCCTTCGTGGAAAGTCTGGGTCAAGGATTCTCAGGCAGAGCCTGTCTTGCGGGGCGTGGGGGGCATTCTGATCTCTGTCCACTCTCAGGGCAATTCTTCGTTGGGGCAGCAGCTGAGAATGGAGGCCCATGGGCTTAGAGATCTCTATCGGGAGAAGGTTGTCCCCCAACAGAACCTGGTGGTGAGTCCTGAGGCCCAGGGGCCTGCGGCCTGCCCGGGAGAGGGCAGTGAGGAGCAGGGAGGCCCCGGGGGCCACGTCCACCCCTCGCACCCTCCCCCACCAGCATGGTCTCTCCTGCACAGGCAGAGCTCAACCTCAGCGTCAGGGCCCTGGAATCCGCTGCCCCTCGTCTTCAGGTGGCCGTAAGGGGTAGGGCAGTGGGCTGCAGACAGAGGGAGGGCCGCGGTGAGGTGGGAAGGAGGTGGGGTGGGGGGCCTTGGGGACCACCACTCAGCCTCAGGGTCCTCGGCGCTGACCCCACCCTGCTAAGGTGAGCGGCGACTTGTGGGGAGTGGCTGCCTGCTGTCCTGCTCCCTGAGGGGGACAGAGCTGAGGCTCCTCTCCCTCCAGCTGCAGACAGCGGGCGTCCTGAGCCAAGTCGCTGACCTCGAAAGAGAGCTGCCTGCCAGGGCCGCCCGCATCCTGATGAACGTGAGTGGGGCTGGGGACCGGGCTCCACCCCAGCCTCTCCTTTAACCCAACCCTCACGGTGGCTCCCAGGGAGGCCCATCCTGCCCCGAGGGTGTCAGGCCTGGGGCAGGGGCCTCCTGGCCTCCTGGGCCTCCTGCCAGCCTGGGCCTCCTCTTTCTTGCAGGAAAGTGCCTGCTTCCTGAGCCGGGAGTTGAGCTACTTCTCGCAGTACTTGGCCTGGGTGAGAGAGGAGGTGAGTGGGGGCTTGGACCTTGCCTGGCCTCAGAGCAGCTGAGGGTCACCCACACCCAGGGCAGCAGCTGGTCACCCTGTCCTTTGGAGGTGCCCCAGGCTTTCAGGGTTGAACCCAAACTCCCAAACCTGGCACCGGCACCCCTGGTTTTGCGGGCTGATCTCTGCCCACCCACCTCTGCCCAGCGCCAGTGTGAGCTGGGAGGGTCCTGGCCATCTAGAACGTGCCGTCCACGCCGTGCCCCTGGCCTTCTGTGGTCAAAGCCCACCTCCTCTTCCAGGCGCCCGCTGGCCACAGCCTCTGAGAGCTGTCCTGGCTCTGCACTGGCCACAGGGCGCTGGCCTGGCCTGAGTGGGTCTGTGCACATGCATGTGTGTACGAGCAGGTGAGGTCCTGTGTGCCTGCACGTGCACATGTACGTGCTGGCTGTCCACCGAGGATCACTGAGAGCTCAGTGCTGGGCACAGGGCGGGCCTAGCACGGGCGAGCCCCAGCACCAAGGGCAGGAGCGGAGCAGAGGCATCTCCATCTCTGGGCCTGCACCCTGTGCCTGCCCGGGGCCGCTGCCCGCATCTGTGTACGGTGTGCAGGGCCACAGCCATGTCCCTGGACTTCTGAATGTCCCTGTCCACCTCTTGCTGAATGTGAGGCACACACCCGAGGGGCAGGGGTCTCCACACGTGCCCGCCTCCTTTGCCAACACAGGTGACTCAGCGCATCGCCACCTGCCAGCCCCTCTCCGCAGCCCTGGACAATGGCCGTGTGATCCTGTGTGACATGGTGGCCGACCCCTGGGTGAGTGCCCCGGCTCATCAGGGCCCGTGGACATCGAGCCCCATAGATGGGCAGTGTGAGCAGGCCATGAGGCGCCCCCAGCCCGGGGCCTGCTCCCTGCCCTCCCAGCGCTGGTCACAGCTGTCCCCGCCCCTCGCTGAGCCAGTGCGAGGCTGCAGAGCAGCTGGGAAGGCCACCCGGCCAGCTGACCGACCTCACACCCCTCCAGAACGCCTTCTGGTTCTGCCTGGCCTGGTGCACCTTCTTCCTCATCCCCAGTATCATCTTTGCTGTGAAGACCTCCAAGTACTTCCGTCCCATCCGGAAACGCCTCAGGTGAGGGGCTGCCAGGATCTCAGGGGTCAGGGGGGACACTGGAGGCCCAGGAAGGAGTCTTTATAGACACTGGGCCCTCATCCCCTGCCCTACCTACTCCTGAAACCTGGCAGAGAAGAATCATAGTCTAGGCCTGAAGACACACATGCACTAAGGAGTTCCGTGGCCCGGAAGTCCTCCCCTATGTCTGCCCCACATCGTTCTTACTGTAACACATCCACCCAAGCATAGCATCTTAAAACTCTTCCTCTCTCTTGGAGGGCCTCAGAGGCAGGAACATCAGGACTTGGGTTTGTCCCTGTGTGGGAGCTGGGGTTCTGTTCTGGGGACACTTTCCTTTTGCTATGCCGCAGCTCTACCAGCTCTGAGGAGACTCAGCTCTTCCACATCCCCCGGGTCACCTCCCTGAAGCTATAGGACCCAGCAGGTGAGCTGCTCCACCCCTCAATTCTTCCATGCTGGGGGCTCAGGGGTGGGGAGCAAAGGGGCTAGGACCAGGGGTCTCCAAGAGGGCAGGGAGGCTTGGGGACCTGGTGGCGTCTGGGTCCGGCTCTGGCCATTCGGCAGTGGATCTGACAGGCGGGAGCCCTGGTCCCCGCCCCCCAGCACTCTTTCCTTCCTAACAGGGCAAGGTGCCCCCTGGGACTGCCTGTCCCCCCACTTTGATTCAGCCTGGACTAGAGGACTTCTGTAGCTCTTGCCCCAGAGCCCAAGCTGGCCCCAGACCTGGGCTGTCCCCCAATTCCACCTTCCCTGGCCCCATCCTGCCTGTTCCCTTTCCACCCTTCTCTGCTCATAACCCCCTTCATTCACCTCCCAAATCATACAGCACTTGCAGGTTCCTCCAGGTGTCCCGCCCTTATCCTCCTTGCTGCAATACATCAGCACCAAGGAGCACCTGTTCTTCACCTATTGGAACCCCTTCCCCAGCCCCTTGGGTGGGACAGAAGCCCTGCCCAGCCCTGCCCTGTCCCCACCCGGGGCCCCCTCTGTTCCTCTCCAAGCTCCTCTTGTCCTCACCTCCCATCAGCCCCAGATTCCCTCCTGCTCCCTTCCCAGCCCTCTCCTTCCTCCTCCAGGGAAGTCCTTCTCTCCCTTCATCCCCTCTTGATCTTGTCCCCACTATTATCTTGCTGGCCCCAGGGACTCCTCTGCTCAACCAAACTAATCAGGTAAACCACCAGACAAAGGCCACCATGGCCCAGGTCTGGGCTTGGGCTCTGCCTGGTGGCCCCTGAGCCCTCCACTGCCCTGGGCCCCTGCCTGGACTTAAGGGACCTCAGTGGGGCGAGCGGCCTCTAAGGCCTGAGCCTGGCCTGCACGGGGTTAGGAGTCCTTGTGTCGGCCCCACCCCTCCCTGCGTCCCCTCCCTGCGTCCCCTCCCTGCGTCCCCTCCCTGCGTCGGCTTCTCGGGAGGCAGAGTCTTCCCCAGCAGCTTTCCCAGGAGGGCCCTGGTGGCCGGGATTGGCACTGCCCCTTCTCCCCTGTGTACATGGCTCAGGCCACCCCAGCCGGTCCCCGTCATCACGGCCCTGCTGAACGGAGTTCCACAAGGGAGAGGAGAAGAGAGGTCAGCTCTCCGTTCCCTGGAAGCCTCGGCTTGGGGTCCCAGAAGCCAGGTCTCTCCGGCTGGGTCCCTGAACACAGCTGGGGTTTAACGAGGTGGTGGAGACAGAGTTCCGAGGCCTCTTCTGACTTCAGGCATCCAGGGACGACCCAGCCACCAGCAAATGGGAGCAGCACCCCTCTGGGAGCCTGCTCAGGAGCAGCCAGACCTGGCCCCCAGCCTGGCTCTGGTGCTGGCTGGCTGGGCACCGTGAACATGCACTGCAGGTCCCTCACCTCGGTGTCTCCTTTCATAGCATAGAGGCACCGTAGCCCCATGGAGGGTTGTGACAATTAAACGTGATTTGTGGAATGCCCTTGGCCGAGGGCTGCTGTCTTCCATCACGACTTAACTGGACCAAAGGCAGAGCCAGGGTCTGGGTGGGCACAAGGGAAAGGGGAGATGGGTCCGTATTCGAAGGCCAAAGCCCATGACAGCGGTGGTCTCCTGAATTTCAGGGAGTGTCTGTGTTTAATTGCATCTTACAAACCAGCAAAAGATTTTCCACTGGGAATCAGGGTGGTGCCTATGTGACATCTCCAACAAGCATCCTCAGATTCAGCACAGTCGCTCTTCTTGGCTTTCCCCAGAGGGTTTTATTTGTTGGTTTTGATGTTTGCTCACAGGCCGGCTTGTGCAGAGGAAGTGGCACCCTGCATATTAAAAATGCAATGGGCGACATTGAAACAAATAAAGTGGAACTGAGTGCCATGGCACACACCTGTACTCCCAGTAACTCAGGAGGCTGAGGAAGGAGGGTCACAAGTTCAAGGCCAGCCTCAGCAACTTAGTGAGACCCTAAGCAATTTAGCAAGACTCTGTCTCCAAATAAAAATAGAAAAGGTCTGGGGATGTAGCTCAGTGGTAGAGCTCTCCAGTACCATAAAATAATAATAATAATAATGAAGTAGAAATAATGTAAAAGACATGTCCAGTTCTCTATTATAATTGCCTCTTATCATCAATATATTTAAGCATAGTTTTGACTTTTTGTTTTGTTTGTGGTGAGAGGGATTGAGCACAGGGCCTCGTGCTCGCTAGGCAGGCTCTCCACCGCTGAGCTACATCCCCAGCAGCAGAGCTATTTTAAAGTTGAGCAATTCCCTTGTATGGAGACCCATGGGTCTGTTTCTAGTGGCTGTTTTTCCCCTGGGTTTTGTTCGATTTCTCGTATCCCTCTTTGGGTACTTGGTGGATTTTGACTGAGTTGGGTACTCACTGTATCTGAAACCAGTAGGAGGCCTGGGATGAAGTTCTCTTCCTCCGGGAAACCTATGTTTACATCTGCAGGTGTCTGAGGACCTGGCAAACCAGGTCGCTTGAGTCCACTTGTGGGAAAGAGATGATTTTTCCGTCCCTGGGCGTAATTCTTCATTTCCACTTGACTCATTCCTAGGGTCCCAGCCTGGTTTGTCGCCCCAGAAGTTGTTCAAAACTCTGCACCTTTGTGGTATCTTCTCTAGGGAGAAAGTAGCCCCGGTGCTGGGCACGGGTCTCTGGATGTCCTTCTTGCCCAGGTCTTGGCACTATGATCCGTGGCTGTCTGGTTTGCTTCCTGGTGCCCTCAATCACCCTTAAATAGACCTACATAAGTATACATTGTAAATATTAAATGTATACATTATGCATATTAAATAAATCAGTAGGTTAAAAAGCTGCCGGCTGCTGTGCAGGTGCTTCTGTGTGCACGGGTGTGTGTGTGCACATGTATACATGCAGTCATCTGAGCAACTTTTAAAGTTGTCCTCCGCTGGGAATTTGGAACAAATCACCTTTCCACCATTATCAGAAGTCATGGTCCTAAAAGTCGATTTTGATATTCCTCCTGAGAACTGGCCTGTGGCTGCCACACTTCAAATCTAGTATCCAGAAGTCCAGCCCAGCCCCGCTGAATGCTGGGTTTGCACCAGAGCTTGTTCAGAGAGCACCAGTCGTTCAGGGCTGGGCGCGGCACTCAGCAGTTGACAAAGAGGTGGAAATGATGTGGGAAAGTCGCCTCATGACCTGGTTTTAGAATGTTGGGATTCTGCAAGGCAAATTCTACTTCATATGTGAAACAAAGTCCCCGTGGTCACAGTCTCGTCTGTCATTCCAACAGGAGCAGATGTCAGGGGTCCTGAAGGGGGCAGTTGTCATATGTGCTTGAGCAGATGAAGCTCCATGATGTCACTGTCTGGTTCAAGTTCACATAAGTTGGACTCGGGTTCTCTGGAGCTGAGCCTGGGGGTTTCCTGTTGGATGAGCCCCTGTTTCCATTCCCTGCGGGAGCACGGGAAGGAGGCTGTGTCTCCAGGGAGATCTGAATCAGATGTCCTTGATGTCCCTGTGGCAGAAGAGATGACAGATTGGGGGCCCTGGGAGTTCTGCCAGGTGCTCCACCTGGCTGCCCAGCACAAAGCCCTGTGGCAGATTTTGCCAAAGAAACGCCACATGGGCCAGGACATCTGAGGTCCCTAGCAGTGGCTGGGTATGCAGAAGAAGGGCCACGTGATGGGGCTGGGACAGTGTGACTTCACCTGTATTCACTGAGCTGAGTATCCATCAGGGAGTGTGCTGCACACTTACCTGAACTAATGACCAGGTAGCCAGCGCTACTCGGCTACTTGGTTGAGAAAACCAGAGCGTGGACACTAAACAGGGGCTGAATACCAAGGGCGCCACCTACCCAAAGGGACCCACGGTGATGGCAGCCTTCTGAATCCTCCACGCCCAGCCTGACAGTCTGTGGCCCTGCTCAGAATGACAGTGTCCCTGTTCCCACGTGCTAGAGCCAAGGCCCTCTGCTTAGCGCCCAGGGCCTGCCTCTCCCTGGGCCCTGCCTCTCCAGGCTGGAATGCCAGGGGCTGACCCGGGAGGCTGGTGGCCAGCCTGCTCCCCACACCATGTGCTGCTGGTACCAAGCCCCTTCGGAGATCCCCAGTCCTCCCTTGACTGTCCTGGAGTGCCATCCTGGAGCACCTTACAGTCCTCCGTCTTACACATGGTGACTGAGTTTCAGAGCCCTGGGTGAGGAGGGAGGTGGGGTATGCCCAGGGAGAAGACCCCCACCCAGCCTTGACCTGCGCCTGAGTGACACACGTGGTAGGGGATATGGGGAGGGTCATGGGCTCCTGCCCACACGGAGGGGGCTGGCAACCAGGGGCTGGGGTTAGAGGAGGGGGACTAGAGGATGTGAACTGGGCCCTAGGGGGACGGTGAGGAGTGCCCTTCAAGCCACAAGGAAGGTGGGCCCGAGAGCCTGAGATCGTGTCACGGGCCCCGTGCAGTTTAACAAATCCAGTGGCTGATGTGTCAAGGCCCTTCCCCTGCGCAGTCCAGCAGGTGAGAGATGAGCTGGTGGCTGGTGGCAGAGCTACGGAAAGGACAGGTGGCCTCCATGAAGGCCCTTTTGACAGTCGGCATGGGGTCTTTTAGCTCAGTCCCAGGAAGCCACCTGGAGAAGGGACAGAACTTAGCCAAGAGAAGGCAAGTGTGCCACTGGGCACCGCGGGTTCCTTGGTCCCCTGAGAATCCAGACAGGGGGGCCAGGCTCTGGAGACCCTTGGATGTGCCCCAAAGAGAAAGAGGTGGAGTCTTCGACCTCTCCAAGCTGAGGTCAGCTGGAGCTGAGCACAGCCCTGCGGGCAGCGCACCTCCCACCACTCCCACCTTGGACAGGAGAGTGGACCGGAGGGGCCAAGCTGTGTGATGTGACGCAAGAGACAGCCATTTGTATTTCCCTACCAAGAAGTGCCCTTGGCCTCAACTGTCCCTAGGGCTCTGGGAGGGCAGTGGGCAGAGGAGGTATCAAGGAGATACCGCTAAGGTGCTTCTGGTAGGTTCCAAAGCCACAGCTGCTCCAACTCAAGTCATGTGACACTCCTGAGTTTGCAGCGCCCAGACAGGGGCCTTTGGGGGCCTCAGACATTCTCAGTCTCCTGTGAAGAGGGGCTCCATGTGCATGGTGAGCTCCCCTCCAGCCCCTGGGCCTTGCTGACAGGCAGGGGCTTCCGGGGGAGGAGCAGCCCACTCTGACCCAGCACTTCTCTCTTTCCTCCATCTCTTCGGCCAGAGCCCAGCAGAAGCAAAGGTTGAGGAAAGGACAGGGGCAGGGGGCTCCACAGATCAGGGGTCCTGGGGAGGAGGGACTTGAACTTGGGCCTAAGGCAGAGGGGTTATGGACAGACATTGAGGAAGGGCCAGAAGACCCCAAGACTTGTGGGCGGGGGTAGGGAAGTCCCTCACCTGGACAGGGCTGATGCGGCCACTCTGAGAGTCTTGGGGGGAGTCTGTGGGGCCCAGGTGGGGAGCCCCACTTTGGTCATTTCTCATTCTTATTCCCCAGAGGCCCAGCAGAGAGACCCGGGGGCAGTGCCTGGAGACCTGGAAAGGCCCCCATGGGGGCCAGAGGAGGAAGAGAGTGTGGTGACACAAGGACCCTGGCAAGGGCACCTGCACCCACTTCTGTGTCCCATGGGGGACGCCCACCTCAGGGGGCTGCAGGGCAAGTTCCCAGAGCACTGCCACCTCCACCCCCCCATCCCCCTGCCCCTGCCCCATGGCCCAGCAGGAGAGAGGGGAGTCCCAGCCTGTTCCGTGCAGGTCACAAATCCCCAGGAAGGGCCTCTGAGCAGGGGAAGTTCAGCGACTTGGGGACTGCAGAGGGCCTGGCTCAGGGACAGCTGCTGTGGCCCTGGCTCTGCAGCCTGGGTGTAGGTGAGGAAGTGTCCAGGCGGATGGTGAGAAGTGGAGCCTAGCGGGCGAGGCAGGTCTTGCCCACCGCGCTCCGTGGGGAAAAGGAGTAGCCTTCACGCACTGGCCCCGCCACTGACCAGCCCGGGACTGGCTGACCTTTTAACTTTTCCCGGTCTTCCTGTCATTATCATAGAGTGGGACAAAGACACTTTTCTCCCAAGGCCACCACAAAGACAACATGCTCAGCAGACCCAGCTCCTGGAAGTTGGCTAGGGGGAGCGGCAGGGCTGTCCCTGTCCCTGAGGCAGATGGCTCCCAGGGAGCTTGGTCCCCACCCCAGCTGCCGAGGGGCTCCCCTCTGTCAGGCAGTGCTGCTCTGGGACTGGAAGTCTGGGGTCTGCCCAGCTTATAATCCTCAGGGAGCTTCTGGCAGGCACCTGGACTGTCACCTCCCCTCTGGGGACAGTCCTCCTTGCCTCAGTGGGTCAACAGCTCCAGGCTGTTTTCTTCCCCGGAGCATCTGAACGCTGAAGCTAATGGGCTGGCTCAAAAAGTGGGGTGGGGAGGGCTGTGAGCTCCTGAGCACACTGCCAAGGAGGGGGCGGGCGGCCAGGGCTCTGTTGCCATGGGAACCACAGGCACCGCACAGGCGGGCTCCTCCGGGCACCCAGAGGGGAAAGTTGGCAGAGCATTCAGGCACCCGGCTCCTGGGTGCTTTCCCCAGGGCTGAGAAGAAGCTAGGGAGCCCGCCCCCCAAAACAGCAGTAAGACCCCCTCTCCCAGGGATCCCCGGGGGCCCTCACCTCTCCTCTGCCACCGCCACCCCCCCAGAGCATCTGGTAAGGTCCCTTCCCTCTGCTGCCCTGAATGCTCTCCCAACCTCAGAGCCAGGCAGCCAGGACAAAGGTATTTGGGAAATAGGAAAAGTCCACGCTTCGGGAAGTCTCCCACTCTGCAAGGATTACCAGGGTGACAGGGAGGCGATTCAAGGTCCTGAGGGACAGAGGAAAGATATGGAAGGACCCCTGAGTGTCCCCCTGATGATTTTGCCCTGGGCTGTTAATCTGTCCTGGTGGCAAGCCCCCCTACAAAGCCACAGCAGCCAGGGGCAAGCTTCTCCACCTTTGTGACCCAGGGGAGGGACGCAGGACAGGGAGGGGCTGGCCTGGAAAATGCCACCAAGAGGCTCCTAGAGCTCCCCCTGGCAGGACAGGACCCCTGCCCCGGAACAGCTCCCACCAGTTGCTGCTCCTTGACCCGGGGCACCCCCTACACCCTCTGCACCCCCTGTTGCAACCTCCCCTGGTAACAAAGAAGAGGGTGATCAGAGAGAGAGTTAGGGACAGACACCTGAGGGGACATGACCTGGGGGACAGGACAAGGGGCCAGGATTTGAAGCCATGTACAGAGAGCGCCTGGGAGGGGACCAGAAAGATGCAAGACGGACTCGTGCACATGTGCGTGAGAGGGAGAGGGAGAGGGAGAGAG